GGAAGTGCTACGTACAATCTGAGAAAAAGTTGAGTTAAAGCCTCAATAAATTTTAGGATGATGAATTTGATCTCAGGCAGATAAAAATGATTATGATAGCAGCAATTATTACTAGTAGCGTTACTAGCAGTAGTAATTTTGTATACAGCGCTTCCTATTTGCCAGACAGTATCTAAACCCTTTCATTGTATTAACTTGCTTAATCCTTAGAACAACATTGATTTCTAGCCAGTCAAATTTCTGTCTCCATTTTACAGAGATTAGCCAACAGGCTCAAAGAGATTAAGTAAATTCCCTGTGGTAACCCTACTGCTGGTTGGTGGCAAGAATCACCCCAGCACCAATCACCTCAGGATGTCCCATTCCAAGCCCAGACTTCTTGCTCTTTATTACTGGATTGTTGGAAAAGTCGCGACATATTTTTCTATATAAAAATGCGTCATGGGACCAGCAGTTGGCATAATGGCTATGTTGCCGGATTCCCATGTAGTAGACCACGGTTCAAGTCCCAGTAGCTTAAACTCACCCGGTGGCTTAAACTCACACCGGGTGCGTGTGTACCCTAGATCCCAAGAGGAGAATAGAGTAGAAGGGATTGCGGTGTGGCCATCCCCCCTCGGGGGGGGGGAGGGGATTTCTCACTTTCTACACGTGCCCTATAACAAAAACCTCTCCAAAAAGAAAAAAAGTATTGATATAACTTTTTGCTGTTTACCTACAAGGAACATGATATTAAAGATACTGTGCTTTATAAAGAAGGGCTCCTATCATAACAAGTTGAATTAAACTCACCCATCTATATGAGGCCTTCAAAAAGTTCATGAAATATGTATAGTATGAAAAAAATATGTATTGATTTTAATTATTTTTGCACCAAAACAAACTTGTACATTCATTCTATTGTTCCATGAACTTTCTGAAGTCCCTCATAATACTATTTTGGTTGAATACCTTTGGAAGACATTTATGAGCCAGCTAAGATGTAAGGGTATATATAGCATAGATTCACTTGGCCATCTCAAAATTATTAGCCTACATTTGCTAGGTTATGCTTTGCCCAAAATGAATTAACGAGGGACAAATAATTTTGAAAAACATATTAAGAGAATGGCTGGGGCCAACAGTGCTTCAGGCAGCGGATTCCCACATGACCAACTGTGGTCTGAATGCCAGACCCAGTGGTTTTTAAAACCATTACAGGCGTGTGTGTGTGTGTGTGTGTGTGTGTGCATGTGCGTGCCCAAAATCCTGAGAGGAGAATGGAGACGAAGGGACTGTGTTGTGGTCATCCCACTTGAGGGTGACTTTTCACTTTTCCTCTCATTGTCTCCCCCTGGTAAGTACACACACCCGATGGCAAAAATCTAAAAAAAAAAAAAAAAAATTAAATAAAAAAAAGCAAAACTAAAAAAAACAAAGCTATAATTTCTATGCTTAAATATATCCAAAACCAGGTGCCTCATTAGCACAGTAGGTAGTGCATCAGTCTCATGAATATATCCAAAACAGGGACATAATGGCATAATGGTTACATATAGTTGACTGCAATTCAAGTCCTGGATCTGGTGGCTTAAACTCACACCAGGCACATGAGCGTGCATGCCCAAGGTCCCAAGAGGAGGATAGGGGAGAAGAGAGTACAGCATGGCTATCCCTCTCAGGGGGTGATTTCTTGCTTTCTACCTCTCTGTATCTCTGGCAAGCACATACACCCTATAGCAAAAATCTCTCATGAAGTAAAAAAAAAAAAAGGGGGTGGGAGTAGGGAGTAGCAGGTGGCATAATGGTTAATGCGTTGGACTCCCACATGGCTGACTGCGGTTAGAATCCCAGACCTGGTGGCTTGCTTTCTCACCTTCCCTTTCTCTCTCTCTCTCTCTCTGGTCAAATTTTAAAATAAATAAATAAATAAATAATAAATTTAAATAAACAATTATTTTTTTGAGAATCCAAAACTTTATCACCATTACATTCTAAAAACATTAAGAACTCAAAATGTGTTCTTACTAAATGTATACTATAAAAGAGAACAAGGATTATCAAATACCAAACATGTTTTAAAAATATAAAAATGCAGGGGCCAGCAAATGGTGTCACAGCAGTTACATTGCTGGACTCCCACATGGCCAACCACAGTTCAAGTCCAGGACACAGTGGCTTGAAATTCACACCAGTCATGTGTGCGTGCGTGCCCAAGATCCCAGGAAGAGAACAGAAGACAAGGGATTGTGGTGTGGCCATCCTCCCTGGAGAGGTGATTTCTCACTTTCCCTCTCACTGCCTGTCACCCTGTCTTGTCTGTCTGTCTCCCTCATTCTCTCGGCCTAAAGTGGAAAAAAAAAAAAAAAAAAACCTCCTCCTTAAAAAAAAATATTGGGGGAACCAGCAGTTAGCGTAATGGCTATGTCGCTGGACTCCCACGTAATTGACCGCGGTTCGCGTCCCAGACCCGGTGACTTAAAACTCACGCCGGGCACGTGTGCGTGCATGCCCAAGATCCTGAGAGGAGAATGGAGGAGAAGGGATTGCAGTGTGACCATCCCCCCTGGGGGGTGATTTCTCACTTTCTCTCTCTATGTCTCTCTCTGTCTGTCTGGCAAGCTCACATGCCCTATAGCGAAAACCTCTTCAAAAAAAAAAAAATTGGGAGCAGCACTTAGTGTAATGGCTATGTCACTGGACTCCCATGCAGTCAACCGCGGTTTGAGTCCCGGACCCAGTCGCTTAAACTCACACTGGGTGAGTGTGCATGCATGCCCAAGATCCCGAGAGCAGAAAGGAAGAGAAGGGATTGCGGTGTGGCCATCCCCCCCCACGTGGGGGGTGATTTCTCACTTTCTGTCTCTGTCTTTCGGGTGAACGCACACACCCTATAGCAAAAACTTTTCCAGAAAAAGAAAAAAAAAATTATGTACAAATGCGTAAAGTATATACACTCAGATGTTTGTAGATAATGAAAACTGATAATGTTGACGTATAAAGATATTTGGTTAATATATAATGAAAAATGAATTCACAAAACCAGTTTAAAGTAGAATTAAAGTTAATTCTCTAATGAACTTCTCCAAACTACATTTCGTAGACTGTCACCATAAAAAAAAAATGCTGAGACATTTTAAAATGTAAAAATAAGGTGGTAATTAATTCTCAGGATAATTTGATTGAACTCTTCAGAAAAGCTCAGTATCACTAACATTAGAGAAATGCGGAGGAAAACAGTGAGATATCACTGTTAGAGAAGTTAGAATGGCTATATCAAAAAGACAGCAGTTAGCATAATGGCTATGTCACTGGACTCCCACATAGTCGACTGCGGTTTGAGTCCCGGACCTGGTGGCTTAAAACTCACGCCGGGCGCGTGTGCATGCATGTCCAAGATCCCAAGAGGAGAATGGAGAAGGGATTGAGGCATGGCCATCCCCCCGGGGGGTGATTTCTCGCTTTCTATCTCTCTGTCTCTGTCTGGCGAGCGCATGTGCCCCATAGCAAAAAAAAAAAAAAAAAAAAAAATTTCTCGAATAAAAGAAAAAAAATAACAACAGCTGAAAAGGATGGAGAGAAAGGGATATTCTTCTACACTACTAGTGCAAATCTAAATTAATACAGCCTTTATGGAAAACAGTACGGAGGTTTCCCAAAAACATAAAAACAGAACCTACTTATGATCCAATTTATGATCCAATAATCCTACTACTGGTGCATACCCAAAGAAAATCAGAATGTCACAAAGATAGCTGTAGTCTAATGTTTACTGAAGCACTAATTCACAATAGCCAAGAAGTGGAAGCAAATTAAGTGTCTACCAACTGACAAGTAAATAAAGAAAATATCAGAGCGAGAGAGACAGACACATAACGAACACCACTCAGCCATTAAAAAGGGTGAAATCCTGTCATCTGGCATTAAATGGATGAGCCTGGAAGACACTGCTAAATCAAATAAGCCAGGCACAAAAAGAGCAATATTATGAATTCTCTCTCATATGTAGAAACTGAAAAAAGAAAAACAAATGGGCTCATAGAGGGAGAGAGAGAAAGAGTGACTGCTAGAGTCTGTGAAGGGTAAGAGGTAAGGGAAGAAATAAAGGGATGCTGATTGACAGAATAAAACTGCAGATAGACAAAAGGAACAAAGTCTAGCGCTACAAGATACAGCGGGGAGAATACAGGTGGCAACAACTTGCTGCGTGTCTCAAAGCGACTGAAAGGAAGGATCCTGAATGTTCCTGACACTAGGAAAGACAAATGGCTGAGATGATGGGCATGCCAATTATCCCCAATGAATCATGACGCACTGCATTCCTGTGCTGTAAAATTACCCTGCATCTCCACAAATATGTACAATTATACGTTAATAAAAAAAATAAAGTAAATACAACAAATTCTTTTCAAAATTACACAATTTTATACATAAAAACTTTTGAACTCTAAAATTTGCTTGCTATTTCATCTACATTGTTGGGCAACAGAGCTCCAGAACTTTTCACTTAATAAATCTGAAACTGTGAACTCTAAAACATTTAAAACAATATGGATCAGTAAAATATATTCAATTCAGAGTCCATCAGGGTATAATTTGGACTCAGGCTCAGTGAAAATGTATCTCATAAGCCGTGGTTTTCTCCCAAGAGTTTATAAAGCAATATTATAAACAGTTTTTTTTAACTAAGAAAATAATTTCCCTTAAGGCCAGAGATACATGTTTACATCTATATTATCTAGCCCCATAAACCTTCAGTGAACACTGTTGATGGTACCCCAGGAAACTGCTTAAATACAAAGTTTCATAACCTAATTTTAAATTATTCTTACCTATGCAATAAATAGGTTCTCTAAAATCCATGACCAGGAACCCTCTGGTAAGCCTATGTTTGTCCTGTTTTTTAAAAACTTCCCTTTAAAGAAAAGTGCTAGTAATTTAGGTTTCCAAATTCCCAGCTGACTGTGCTCGCATAGTAATCAGCTCACATAAACGGTAGTAAAGATAAACTTTCTACTTACCATATAGTTACCATATGCATGATCAAACATTTCCAGTACTTGATTCCTAATTTTAAAAGAGCAGAAATGGAAAAAAGTTAAGTATGTCCTAGTGATCATCTTTCAAAAATTAATTCTCCCTCATGAAAATATACGAATTAAAAAAAAAATTAGTTAGAAGTGGACGTAAACAGAGTCAGGAGATACTGTACAACAGTCAGCAGACAAGCTTTCATGAACTCGCTACACAGAGCTGAGTCAAACTTTTACTACTGTGGGTAATTCGCATAAAATTCATCTGATGATTTTTTTCTCAAAAATTAATGAATGATATATGTCATGATCAGACAGAAGAAATCTGAGGTTGAATAACCATTAACTCTTAACACAGTTCTTTTACCTATCTGTCTTGAAGGGGAGACTATTGCTAGAGAACTCACAAAAGAAACAATTATTAGTACTATTTACTGATTATCCTACATGCTCTATTAAAAGAGAGGGAGGGTAGTGTGTATATTGATATAAAATAACACTCTATTCAGCCTCTGTCTTTCCCTCCAAACTAAATAAAGTCACTAATGCCTAGTTCATATGAATAAGTATCACATTTTTGAAAAGCACATTTATGATATACTCTGTCCCTCTAAAGAACTGTCAAAAATCAAATAAATAGGATTTACCTCTTATATGAGAAACACTAATGCTCACGAGACCTGTGTGTGTTTGACTACTTGTTTCTCGAAATCTCCAACATGGCTATTCAAAACGGAGATTTCTGATCTCCACAGATTACCTACATCAAAACCTGTAGAGTGATGACCAAGGAGAATGACTTTCTATTAAACATTCTCAAGTTCAGGGGCTTGACGACTACAGGAAAAACTACAGAAGTAATAATAATTAACAATGACAACAAAATAATTAGAAAAAATAGCTTAACAAATTTTTTATTAACTCTTTTCTCAAAATTCTGTTCCAATTATTAATGGCTACTATCAAAAAAGAAATAATGTGGCTGGCTATATTTTTATTAAGCCTCCTGTTACATTGCAATTGTCATTTTAAACATTGTAATCACAGATAATGAAATATGGGTAATAATAAAGATGGTAGACAGAAACGACCTAAAATTCCAGGCTCCTGGTTGTAATCAGCAAAACTGAGTACACTCAAACTTACAAACTATGAATAAGTCCTGACAACTTCTGAATAACCATCCAAAAACACCTGTTAAAAACAAGTTCTTACCTCTACTTTGCTAAAACATTAATTCTTTCTAGGTTTATATATACACAACTATACTTACATATATTATAGAATATGAATCAAGTGATCTTAGAAAATTATGAAATAAAGAATCCCTCTAGACAGTTCATTATTACACTACAGGTAACAATCTCTCAAATTAGATATAGGAACCAGAAAAAAAATGTAAAATGTCCCTTTTAAGCACCACTATCAATAAATGGAGTACAGAACTCTTCGGTTTCCGTCCCTGAAATGGTATTAATTCAAGCTATTACCAAGAAGTAGAAATTCCTGTAATTGGTAATGGCAGAGCCCAGACATGCATACTGGAGGTGACATAAGCTCTACCTTGCTAACCCAATTTTGCAGGCAATCGATTTTTAAGATTATGAGTAAATTCTGATTGCATACAAGGAGGACACACTATCTAATCCTTCCATTTACTTGGCACACAATCAGTAAATTTCATAATACATACTTTGAAGTAGAGATATTTAATATCCAGTTGCATTCTCTTTGATTTATAAGTATTAAGAGAGTCATATGTAAATATGGAATGGTACAATTACTGTATTAAATCAAAAAAGTTTCTGTAAGACTTTCTCTCTATTCAACTGGAAAAATGCATTAGAAATCCATCTGTAGTTAAAAAATTACGTCTCTCTTCATTTAACATCATTTCTATGTCAGTTTTTTTCTAAAGTTACATTTCCCACCAATTAGCTACACAAATTGGGTTGTTTTGTACTTATTTTTTTAATGAAAAGAAAACATTAACAAAATCTCCTGCTGTAACATTTAAATATATATATGTTACATATATATACATACGTGTGCGTGTGTGTGTATTTGTGCATATATATTTTTGTTTTGTTTTTTTAACTCCATTAAGGATAAGACTATATTTGATCAGGTCAATAATTCTACGCAAGCAGCCAGGCAACTGCTTACTATTCCTGGTGATCTAAGTCTTTATCATCTGTTTGGTTTAGGGGTGTAGGAAAAAGGGTGGGGCATTTTCTGCTTTTTATCACAAATCATTATTTAAGCTTTTTTAAAAAACCACCAAGGGGGACCAGCAGTTGGCACAATGGCTGTGTCGCTGGACTCCCATGTAGTCGACTGTGGTTCGAGTCCTGGACCTGGTGGCTTAAACTCACGCCGGGCGCATGTACGTGTGTACCCAAGATCCCGAGAGGAGAATGAAGAAAGGATTGCGGCGTGGCCATCCCCCCAGGAGGTGATTTCTCTCTTTCTGTCTCTCTGACTCTGTCTATCTGGTGAGCACACGCGCACTATAGCAAAAACCTCCGCGCACTATAGCAAAAACCTCTCCAAAAAAAAAAAAAAAAAAAAAAATCACCAAGGTAGGGGTGTAGGAAAAAGGGTGGGGCATTTTCTGCTTTTTATCACAAATCATTATTTAAGCTTTTTTAAAAAACCACCAAGGGGGACCAGCAGTTGGCACAATGGCTGTGTCGCTGGACTCCCATGTAGTCGACTGTGGTTCGAGTCCTGGACCTGGTGGCTTAAACTCACGCCGGGCGCATGTACGTGTGTACCCAAGATCCCGAGAGGAGAATGAAGAAAGGATTGCGGCGTGGCCATCCCCCCAGGAGGTGATTTCTCTCTTCCCAGGAGGTGATTTCTGTCTATCTGGTGAGCACACGCGCACTATAGCAAAAACCTCCGCGCACTATAGCAAAAACCTCTCCAAAAAAAAAAAAAAAAAAAAAAATCACCAAGGCAAATCTAATGAATCGAATGTCAGTATTCTGAAAATTCCCAGAGGGGAAAGCAGTCAGTCCTTGTGTATCTGTGCTCTATAGCACCAGACTCTTACTCTAACTTTATTCTACAGGAAGGCAATCTAAATTTACAATCCAAAATTATAATTTCACTTTCATAAAAGATCTCAAATTTGGCTCAAATCTCAAGACAATAGGGCTGGACTTTTTCAGTTAAAAATTAATTTTTTGTCAAAAATTAGTTATGTAATGATTCTTTGTGCAAGTAAAAAGTTTTAATAAGAGAGTGAGAAAGAATAAGATACTTCTCTTTTAAGACTTATAAAAGCACAGCAGAGTGGACTCTGGGGTCATTCCCACCTGGGTTTGAACACTGGCTCCCAAAATTACCAGTTCTGCAACTTTAAACAAGTCAACTTGAAGTCTCAATTTCCTCTTCTGCAAAATGGGAATCACATCTACCTCATTAACAAATAGGGAGGATTACAGAAATAACATTTTAATATGTAAAATGTACCAGAACGGGGTATTCAATAAAAGTTATCAGTATTACATACTAATGACTTGTAATAAGAAATTTTAAGCTACTTAAGAGTTTCCTGGTAATTTTGCTGTGATACTTCACACTTTTTTCCCCCAACAAGCAACTTTTGTTGCTATTTTACTTAAAACCCAAAAGGAGACACTTGCCATGATTTAAATAAAGTGTGTTATATAAAACCTGACGGTTTCTCCTCTCCTTCATCCTAACCCCAAGATCATTTTTCCACTTTTTCTGAGTTTAAAAAAATTTTCTTTAAAAAAAAAAGTTGAATAGCACTGTGCATATTATTCTACAATATGCCCTTCTGGGATGGGGGTGCACCTTGGGTATACCCTTCGCAGCTTTCTAATGACGTACCTCCTTCCCAATGTCGGAATATTATTCCATAATCAGATGCACTATATTCAATTATTTCCCTATAAAGAATAGCTCTGTTCTTTCAAAATGCACTTCTTTGTACACCTATCCCCCAGAGCTTGGAATACTTCAGGGTAGATTCCCAAAAATGAATCAAAATATGCGCACTTAAAATTTCAGGAGATACTTCATTACATTACAGCAAATTCACACTCTAAAGTTTTCTTCACGCCTTACCTAGCCAGTACTGTAACTCTGTGTTTTCTATTTATTAATCTGATGGGCAAGACCAGCTATCTGGTTTTATCTTCATCTTACATTTATGAGGTTGAGTAACTTTTCATGGTTACTGACCGTTTGCATTTCCTCTTCTGACTTAACTGTTCATGCCTTTTGCCTATTTTCTACTGGTGCTTGGCTTTTTTCTTATTCATTTGTGGGACCTAGAGTGTTAGTATTACTGACTGAATTAAATGCTGCAAATGTAAATGATAATTTTATGGCACTTTCAGGACTGATAAAACTACTCAGAGTAAAGTGAGCAGGTATACTTCATCGGGGCTTTTGAATGCCACTACCAAGTATCTGTCCTATTATGAAAATGCAGTCCAAGAAAACACTGCAAGGAAATAGTAAAATGTGTAAAGCTCAAGTTCCAATGAACGCCCCCTTTTCCATAACAGGTGTAAACACCATTTCCTTAACTACTGTAAGATCAGCAACATTCTCCCAGCTGGCAGCTCACTTGTGCGAGAAATCGAACCATGCCTCGGGCCAAAGGCAACCGCAGGACTGCGGGACGCAGCGACACGGGCTGTAGCCCCCTTCACGGGCCACTGACATGGCAGCAGCGCTGTCACACTGGCCTCGAGGAACCCACACATGTCACCGACGGCCCAGGCCCCACCCGACAGCGCCGGGTCACATCGCGGACAGCGATTCCCACCTTCCCAGACCCTGTCCACCCCGTCAGGGTCCTCGCGCGGCCCCGGGAGAAAGCGCTGCGCGCCGGGTCGCAATGACAGGCATCTTGCCTGGGTCAGCCTCACCGGGAAACCCACCCCGGGCTGCCAAGCACCCTTACCCAAGCTTCTGCTTCTCCTCCCTACTCATGGGCGCGGCCCCAGCCGTCCACACCGACGTGGCCGACACCAGGCAGAGCGCGGCCGTCGCCGCCACCAGGCTCCATGGCGCTCGCAGGGGGACCGGGCACCCACAGACCCGGCCGCCGCCGGCTTCGCTCATGGCC